GATATCCTTCCCGAATGTCTTCTTGAGCCCTTCAGTGTTTCCACACTTGTTTGGTGAGTGTATTCTAGCAGAAATAGTTTATCGTGATTGAAACATCTTTGTCAATCACAAGGAGACCATGGTTGACTTAGTTGAGCTAGACATGGTGGACTTTGATATTACTCTAGGTATGGACTGACTTCATGCTTGTTATGCCTCATTTGATTGTAGAACTCGAGTAGTCGAGTTTTAGTTTTCTAATGAGCTAGTTTTAGAGTGGAAGAGAGTTCAACAGTGATTAAGGGTCGTTTCATTTCATACCTGGAAAAGGCGGAATTTGTCGCAATCAACTTAAGGGTGTTGCTCAAATATGGTTCAACCAATGGAAAGAAGAGAGAGCGGAAGATGTGGGTCCTCTTGATTGGCAAAAGTTTAAGGTTACTTTCCTTGATAGGTTATTTCCCCTTGAGATGAGGGAGGTAAAGGTGCTTGAATTCATCAACCTTTGTCAATGAAGTATGAGTGTGAAGGAATATACTTTAAAATTCACAAAATTGTATTGATATGCTCCTTCATTTCAGGTGTGTCTGAAATGGTGTTTAATGAATGTCGTACCACTATGCTTATCAATAATATGGACATTTTTTTTCTCATGGTTCATGCTCAACAAATTGAAGAAGATAAACTCAAGGAAAGTTCTAGGGAGGCAAGGAGGGCCAAAACCGATGATGGTGACTTTTCACATTCAAGGTACGAGAGACATGTTCTTTCTAAGTTCTGACATAAGTTTTTCGGTCAAGGATCCTCCAACTCTCCTCCTAAGTTCAACAAAGATAGGGTGTCTAACCCTAAGCCTCATGGAGAGAATAGTGGTGCATCTTCATTGTCTACTTGCTCAAAGTGTGGAATAAAACATCAGGGTAAATGTCTAGCTGGTTCTAATGTATGTTTTGGTTGTGGAAAGACGGATCACAAGATAAGGAATTGTCTCTCAGTTGCTAAGAATGATGAAGATAACCGTCGACTGGTCCCACCTTACCCTTCATCAGGTTCTAGTGATAATAAGAAGCAAAACTGATTTTACGCACTTCAGACACGTCATGAGTAATAGGGTTCTCCCGATGTGGTTATCGGTATGTTAAAAGTCTTCCACCTCGATGTTTATGCTTACTTGACCCCGATGCTACCTTGTATTTTGTGACGCCATATGTTGCTATGAGGTTTGATATTTTTCCGAATGTGTTGTTAGATCCTTCTTCTGTCTCTACTCTAGTTAGTGATTCTATTGTGGCTAAGAGGGTATGTAGAAAGTGTCCCATCTCCTTGTCCCATAGAGTCACTCATGATGATCTTGTAGAGCTTGATATGCTAGATTTTGATGTTAACCTTTATATGGATTGGTTGCATTCATGTTATGCTTCTATTGATTGTGGACCCGTATAGTCAAGTTTCAGTTTCTAAAATCCTATAATGGAAAGGGGTCCAAAATCTAGTGGTAATCTCACCCACGACCAACCAGGACGGTCCGTGGTTTGACCAACACACCGTAAGTTTGGCCGTTGGTGAGTGATGAGTCCGAGATTTGGACTCATTTAGGGCTTTGTTTTGATAGTTTTAGTGTCCTGAAATGCCTAATTTATGCTATAAACTGATGTTAAAGCCTTGATTTTCAGGTATGTAGACTAAGGAGCAAAGCAAGGATACTAACAGGCAAAAAGGAACAAAATAAACTGAAGAAGTGGAGAAAAGCAATCCCGATGATCGCCAAGACCACTCGGTGAACCGTTGAGTGGCTCTTCAGACCACCTAAAGTTCCAGTGTGCCAGCCCTGAGGGAAGAAACCAAGTTGGTGACATATATGGGAAGTCGGCGAATTGTCGATCGGCTTTGCGATGACAAAATGGATCACCCAAAGTTACATGACTTGAGGATGCTGAGACCCAATGCAAAATGGCGATGGAAGAGAGCAAAGAGTGGATCACCGAACCACTCGGCGATCCCGACTTACCTCGCCTAATGGGTTTTTAGGCCAAAGTTTGGGCAACTATAAATTGAATTTTGAATTGAAAATTTATTATCAGAAAAAATCTAGCTATTATTGAGTACAATTTTCTTTTGAGTTTTAGAGTTCCATTGTAGACTTTGAAGCTTTTTGCAGGCTTAAACTTGAAAATTTGCAAGTGGGTTTTTGAATTTAACCTTTGGAAAACATTGTAAATGCTTGGAGACTATTACCCAACTGATGGATAATCTAGTTGGTAATTGTTTTTATCTTTTTATAATATTTAGCTAAAACCCCAATTCTTGGGGTGCGATTATGGGTTGCATTAGCTTATGGGTATTGATTATTACTAATTTAAATGCTATATTGAAGTGGGTTTAATCATTAGTTGTGTTTTAATCTATGAGTTGTAGTTGCAAATGCAGTTCTAACTTTGAGTTCTTAACTTGCTTGAGAAAAGGGGTTTTTGAACCAAAGCTTTTGATTAATGGTTTGTAGGTATTGGGTTGATGTGGGTTCAGCTCGAAAGAGTGAATCCTAAACAAAATCCTACCCATCTTTCTCGAGAGAGAAGGTGTATTAAGGTTGTGGGCTGTTCTTATTTATTAAGCTTGTTGATGTTCGAGAGAAATCACTTGAATCGAAGTAGTTGTTCGAGAGAAAGCTATTTCAATCATAGCCTAGCTTACCCACTGATATTTACCTATTTATTAGTAGATTCAATTACCCATATAGCAAAATTTGCCTATAATCAATCACATCCCGAGAATTCCTCTCTATATTGTTATTTCATTGTTGGTTGATTGTGTCGTAGTTGATAATTGCAAACCAAAATCCCCCATTTGAGATTTGTTGTCACCCCCTTTGATTTGTTTATTTGTTATTTTCGAAAATTTCTATTCCTATAACTATTTAGACAACATGTGTACTTCATAATTGAATTTGAATAGGTACCGCTCCCTGTGGATTCGACCCCATCTCTTCGTTGGGTTTTATACTGCTTAACAATCGTTTGCACCTACAATTGGATGAGGTGTGGTTGAAATGTTAATCAGTGAGGTTGACAATTATTTTAATAAGGGGCTTTTGGGTCTTTTCCTAATTATTCTAACCCAATACTATGTCGTTTTACCTTCTATTAGAGGCCCTATATAAACGTTTTTACCCCTAAAATCTCCTAATTCAATTCATTCTCTCAAATTCCTAAAAAAAAAAATAAGTTCATCCTCTCCAATATTTCTCTCTCTAAAAGCTTGAAGAAGAAGCCTAGGGTTCAAGTCAAGTCTCCAATTTCACCATTGATTGTAAGCTCTTGGCCTTAAGGTATGATAATATTCACCTATGGAGTCCTTTCCTTCAAAGGGTTCCTAAATTCTCCTATTTTCACAAGGTACAATCTCCAATGGAAGTTAGGATTTTTACTCAATCTCACGGGTTCCTTTCAATTAGTAAAGATGATACTAGTACAAAATCACACATATTTCGAAATTGACCTAGAACCTTTCATAGGTATCCCTTTTTCTCAATTGTGAAAGTTCCCTTAATTCCATCGGCTTCACTTTCATTGCACATGTGAAATGCAGGTGCACTCATGCTACATGAAAATGCATCAACAACCTCTTATTAGTATTGCCAAGTGAAGCCTGCGCTTGTACTTGGGAAATGCAGTTGCACTTCTGCCAAATACATGTGCAAGTTTCCAGTTGCCTCTTCTCTCAAGTGAATTGCACTTGCGAAACACAGGCGCACTTCTGCCAGGCACTAGTTCTTTGAAATCTTGTTTAGTGATTTTTCTGCTCTCATCTTTCATTTTTCTCATATTTCAAGGAATTCATGCTCATAAGAGAACAAGGGTCATAAATCCCTTCAATTATCATAAAAACATAGCAATAATTCATGCTAAATATTTAAAAATAAATTATTGTTTGTCCTCAAACAAAGTACTCACGAAGCATAGGACTGACTAAGTGATAAACGCTCAACTATGCCCCACTTTTAGGGAAAAGATGATCGTATATAAAATAATACTCAACTTTAAAGGTCAGGGTTAAACCACAAGAATTGACAGTTGGGATCACTCTCGAATTCATTTTTCAACCAAAAATAAACCAGTGAATTGTACTCTCTAAACCCATGTATACAAAATGGGGGGGGGGGGGGGTTAG